GCGAAAGACAAAGATGAAAGAAACATCGGCTAAGGAGTTTAAAATCTCTTTTATTTAGTTTCTCACAGCCAAATGGCTTCGCTCAAAGGACGATGGCCGAACAGATTATTTCTGAGCGAAAGCGAATGCAGACACTTTGCTCCATAACAATTTGATGGATGAAATGTATAATTTCTGAGACAAATATCTCAAAGAATATCGGGTGAAGAACACAAATATATCAATACTCAAAGAAACAAAATAGCATCGTATAGTTATCCAGATATAAAACATCTTCACTAAACCCTCAAAGCAAACTTAACCGAAGAAACACAAGCTCGTGCTCAACGCGAATATTTCACTTGACTCGCTTCCCCATTCCAACACCTTTGCCAAAACTTATCGTAAATTCAGGATATGGATTTACAAGCTTATGAAAGGCAACCTTGACACAATCTTTGACCTAAATTGAGTTTAAAGGGTATAGTATCCAATAGAATTCTTAAAATGCCGAGATGTCTGTTGAAAAGGGCCAGAGAAGTGAAATAAACCTGACGTACATGTAGTAGCCACTATGGCAAAACATCCCGACTCACGTAGTCAGATTTCACGCTACGGCTGGATGCAACCAATGTACATGCGCATTGTCTCATTTTGGAAGAAATTTACTTTCGGCAGCCGTATCAGAGCCAGCCGTAGTGATTTGCTTAAACTCCCTAATACTACTACTACTACTACTACTGCTGCTGCTGCTGCTGCTGCTACTTATTTTCGTCTGAATTTCAGTTTGTGCTGTGACTCTGACAAGGAGTTGACCGATTAGCGTTCTATAACTGCTGTCTAAAGGAAGTCTGCCCGAGGACATCATTAAGTCCAATGAAGGTGCAAGTCTAACGATTTGCTAGCAAGCGTCCTCCATTATCGTACCCGAGAGGGCCCTGAGATATACTAAAACGGGATGTCATTTAGCCCCGTAGTATTAGGCCATTTGCACCGATAATGTTGTGCTTGCTTTAGACAGCAAAGAACTTTAGCCACATCAATTTAGGGCGTAGACACTTCTAGCTGCTGTTGACATTATTTGCTCTGAACTTTGATCTAGAGAAAGACTTAGAAAAAAATCTGTTGACGTCTGGAGATGGCATTTCGTGCTTGACAAAACTCAAGTATGTCCGGGACATTGCTATTTGCGAGCAAAACATGGCCCCGAGCAGAGTTAAGAACATTAGGTCAAGCGCTGA